TTGTGGCAGCAAATTCCCTGCTTAGCTTCCAAGATGTGATGAAATCGGGCCACCTTCCCTCCCAAATGTCCCCTGTTGACTCCTAAATGACAATTGTCTGCACACCTATATCAGAGAATGGGGCTTCTGGTTACATCATGAGGTTTCAGCAAAAACCTTGACAAAGTGGCCTACAAGGCAGACAGACACAATCACAAGTTACTAAGTGCCTGGCTTCGTCAGGAAAGCGGAAAGTGGCAAGAGGGCCCCAGAGGAGGTTTTACAGAACACTTCGTTTTTCCTCCATGCTATGTTTGCAGTTTTGCGAGACGGAGAATGTTTATGCAGACTGAAGTTCAGGCCTTGACAGAGAGCCAGTTTATTGCTTGTGCGGCATGCTGAGAATTTTTGTAACTAGATATTGCCTAGGCTGCATGCAGGTATATCTCAGAAGAAAGGCAAGAGAAGGCTTTCCTTCCTTCCATCTTCAGTCAAGTATAAACGCATAAGATAGCCACTATAGGAACATAAAAAGAAACTCATGGAGTTGGACAGAGGGTCCAATTAAACCAGCATTCCGCTCCACACAACTGATAATCAGATGTTTCTGGGAAGCCAAAAAGCAAAGTATTATGGAGACACCATCCCATGCTGTAACACGCAGCCTCCAATTAGGCTTCCAGTTCGGTTTTAATGGCCAATAGCCAATGACAGATCTATCCTTCATAAATGTAACTCTTCCTGTTTTTCAGTTGATATGAACCAGTAGCCATCGCTATGAGTTAGATCCAGCTGGCTTTTCTGCTGTTGAAGAATGAAGGAAAGACCCCACTGACCTCCACCCACCCAGGCTATGCAGAGGATCGTAGGGTTTATGTGTACAAAAGCCATGTGTAATAAGGAGGCAGACTGGGTGGGATTCAGTGTGTGTGGGGGGAAACTTGCCCTATGACTTGTGGCAGCAAATTCCCTGCTTAGCTTCCAAGATGTGATGAAATCGGGTCACCTTCCCTCCCGAATATCCCCTGTTGACTCCTAAATGACAATTGTCTGCACACCTATGTCAGAGAATGGGGCTTCTGGTTACAGTACCCTTCCATCCCCTTTCCAAGACGCTGAACCTAAAGAACAGAAGACAAGACATATCCTGTTCAAGTTTCATTTTAAATTTGTTTATAATTTTAATCAACAGCTTTTTGCTGTTGGTTTTTCAGATTTTTGCCTTGGCTACACATTTTGTACATCTTTAATTTGCAGTCTGCGTAGTATTGATATGCATAATGTATGGGTTTTATACATATTGAGGATGGTACTGAATTTTACGTCAGCACAGTTTCAGTTTGAAAACTAGACACAGATATGAGTTTCTCCCTCCCCTAGAGAATCTGAAATCGCCTTTTCTTTATCTGGGACAAACTGACAAAATTTAATGAAAAGAGTACTGTTACATTTTTCAGAGAGGAGAAGGCCGTCCTTAAGGTTTGCTGGCTCCAAGCCAAATAGGGCTTTAAAAGCCAATGTCAGCAATTTGAATTGGGCCCAGGAGCAAACTGGAAGCCAGTGTAGATGGAACAAGACTGGAGTGATATGGTTCATGCAACTCACTCCAGCCACTATTCTGAGCAAACTTAATTGGACGGCGGAAGACAGGAAGGCCTGTCAGACTCGACTGTGCGACTGAACAACAACAACACATTTTTAGCACCAATTGCATTTCAACAGAGTAAAATTTGGATGTGAATGGCATAAACAATAAAAACACAAACATTTATGGCGGAAATTTGATGAGAGGAACCAGAAAATGTAATAACAATGAGGAATCACAAGTCAGATTTAAACTAAGGAAATGCAAAACTGACATGGGAATTTTGGGTTTGAAACAGCAAGGGTAAGATATTTAAAAATTATCCCTAACCTAAATCCATGCAAATGACTTAAATACTTGCAATTAGATCAACTATATATTGGTTTATTTTGCTGCACTTCCACGCCATTGTTATGCCTTTTACATGCAACTGATGCCAAAATGGGTGTCAATGTTAATGGCCAACTTTCCATCAACTTTCATTAATGTGGTCAAAGAAAATATGACTGGGCACGTGGAGAAACCATGAAAGGAACTTGAATGCAACCAGCATTGAATAAGTCAGTTATGTTTCTTTCTGATTCTTTTAACTTCCAAAATATTTCCGTAATACCACCAAACTCTTTTGTTATTACTGTGTGATTGTATTGTGTGTTTTTTATTTCCAAGTTTTGTTCAATGTGCTGGATGCATGTGTTTTTTTTCTTTTGAAACTACCTCTAGCAACTTTTTGGAAAGTGAGATCTATCATAATATAATGAATTAATTAGTTAATGAAAAACATGTATATAGTTGTCCTTTTGAGAAGCTGGGAGTGAGATTTATGCACAAGCTAAGTAAACAACAGTTTAGGGCCTCTAAATGTTTTTTTTTAATGCCAAAACAGGAGAGATCCCAACTCCTGGGTCAAACCTTCCCCCCACCAATAACATCAGGATTAAGTTTATCCTTGTTAGCCCTCCTCCATCCCAAAACAGCCTCAAGGCACCTGTTCACAGTTGCCAGAGGCTCACTAGGATCTTTTAGAAGCATGAGATAGAGCTGTCATCCACCTACTGGTGGCAACTAAGCCCAGATATCCAGATAACTTCTCCCAGTGGCTTTCAGTAGATGTTGAAAATCATGGGGGACAAGATAGAACCTTGAGGGACCCGTAGGCCAGAAAACAAGGGCATAGCAGTAGTCCCCCAGCACCACACTCTGAGATCTACCTTCAAGGTAGGACTGGGATCACCACAGAACAGCACTTCCCAGCCACCAAGAAGTCCAGACAATTAACAGGGTTACATTCCCCCTGTCCATCTGCTGGTGCAGGTCATCCACCGGGGCAACCAAGGCCAGTCCTGAAACCAGACTGGAAGAGATCCAAACAATCCAGTACATTCAGGAATCCCTGAAGTTTCCCAGCCACCACTCACTCAATTACCAAATCTATCAGCAAGAAAATCCCCTAATAACATCTGGAAACCAATCACCCTCCCCGCAGCACTGAACTATTTGTCCTCCCTGTTAGCATGTGGACATTCTTGAATGCCGGACTGGGACATCGCAGGCTCTACTCCATTTCTAAAAAATGCACTGGCAAACTTTACAACAAAGCAGCTGCTCTCCTGAACTCCCTCTTTCCCATTTCAGGATGGGATGATGAGGCCAGATGGGTACAGATCAAATATTACTCAGTCGAAAAAGTGTCCTTTGAGGAACAAGCTGGGGTGCGCTTTTCGTGGCATAGTTATGGATACGCTTTTAGTTTTATTTCTAACCAAGCTCATAGGATACAGTACATTAGCTCGATCACCATTATAGAAGTTGGTTTTAATGCATCATTCACTAGTTTGTAGATTAGAGGCTTGCAAGAAAGATTATTGTGTAAACTTGTTGGGTTAAGTTGTGTTTATAAGCTTTTGTTCGGTTTATCACTTACTGTAACAATAGATTTTTATGACGTATGAAATTGTTGTTAATCTGTTTTGCTCTTTTTAATAAAAAAAGAAATGTACTAGTATATTAAACAAATGTGCAGAATCTAGTTATACCAATAAATATGTATAAAACTAAACCAGATATATGACTATGGGGAAAACTGGTGCTACATTACTTGTGGTCGTGCAAGAATAATTTACAACTATTTGCCTACAATTAAGTTCAATAACTTTTATGTTGTGATTAATTAAATCCTAACATTTCCTTGTAACCCCTGCATTTATTAAGCATGGAAATGAGTTTTCTCTTGCAACTCATTAAGCATGCAGCAAGCCTAGCGATATAGTGGAGTTTTACTCTAATAAAATACTTGGTCTTTAAATGTATATATATATTACTCAGTCAAGGCCCTCTCCCAAGGAAGAGTCATTGGAATGGAGAAGACAAAGGTTTATTTTCTTTCCCCCTGGAACTTGAGGCAGTCCACACTACCTGAATAACTTCCATTTTAAATGTTAGATTTTAAGGAAGAGGCGATCGTGATTTTCAAATCAAAACTGCTTGCTTATGGAAATCCAAAAACATCCCTAGCCCTTCCTCATTTTTTTCATAGCAGACTTGTGAAGCAGGATTGGCAGAGATACAGTGTTTAGCTGGATGTCACCCAAAAAATATTGTGACTAAATGCAGATTTGAGCCTCTCTAGCCTAAGCCCTGCTCTCAAACCATTTCAATCCTATGCAGTTACTTCAGTCTAAGCCCATTGAAACTAGTTGGCTTAGACTGGAGTAATTTAGCACAGGATTACATTGTAAGGCTGTTAAGAACAGAGCTCATGGAATTATAGAGTTGGAAGGGTCCTCCAGGGTCATCTAATCCAACACCCTGCATAATACAAGAAATTCACAAATACCTCCCCCCCACACCCCCAGTGACCCCTGTTCAGTGATCAGAAGATGACAAAAAAACCTCCAGGATCTCCAGCCAAACTGGCCTGGAGAAAAATTGTTCCCTGACCCCGAAGTGGCAAACAGCATTTCCCTGTGTGTGTAAGAAAGAGCCACAAGAACTAAGCACTGATACAACTCTTCCTGCCCTCCCTCTCATATCCCCCTATTAAAAAAATCCTCTGAGTGGCCTGATGCCAGTCACTCTCTTTCTGAATCTAATCTATTTCACAGGGTCACTGGTAGGATAAAATGGGGCATAGGCGTAATCTTTGTGGGGGCGGCGGGGCGTCAGCCCCCGCTGAAATTTTTAGGAAGGTGCTCAGCCTCCCCCGGGAGCCACCCTTGCTCCAAGCAAAGCAATGCCTCTGGCCCAGCCCCAGCCCCCCCCCCCCGGGAAATTGGAAAGTCTACACCCTTGAAATTGGGGAAAAGAGACGCGTGCAGATCGCCTTGTGGAAGGGGAGGGTAAAAGTCAATAACCACCAGTGGTCAGTGAATATAATGACTAAAAAGATGGACCAGTAATCACCTCTCTAACTCTCTTGTTTTGTGCTTTCTTGAAGGGATGCTGTCCACAGTGTGAAGGACACCAAAACCTACAGAATACAAGTAAGATGATTTGAATCGGGAAAGCAAAAATGGAATGGGGTTAACATGTGCAATCTGGGGGAGGGAAATGTTGAATTTTGGCCTAAAAATAGGTCTGTTGCTTCCATGCAAGTTTTGAATCTTGTGCAAGAAGTCATCTCATCTGCCAAAGCCCCCACAAGCTGGGAAGCAAAAGAAATTATTGTGTTTATTTGCTCATCTCCAACCTGGGTCTCTTCAATGGTTTCTTTTTTACCATGGTACAGAGACATCGGAATCAAACGAATTGGATCGCTTATCAAAGGCTGCGGTCACACGAGCAGTTTGCTGCGATATAGTTGCAGATTTAAAGAGCACGATCAGACAACATCTGCTTTCTGTGCCCCAGTTATAGGCACCCCTAGCTGCCTCGCTTAGGAAGAGTAATCAGGCACTGGGGAAAGTCCGGTATTTAGGGTTGCCAGAGCTTCCACTCCACGTTTCCGGCTGTCTGAACTCCCCTCTTGTGAAGTCAAGCTATTTGGGAAGTCTGAACCTTCCCTTCCATTTCTGCCTCCTTTTGTTTTTGTTTAATGATCAGATAGCAATGTTCGCATAAGCGCATAATCACCCCTGGCATTGTCAATCACCTCGGCCAAGTAGTCACTCTGGATTGGGAGTTCCGAGGGAGTTGTTTTCAAGTGACAAATCCCCCCCAACCCCTCTCGCCTGTTTTTGCATCAGAGTCTGAGAGTATCCCATGACTGACACAAGGGTAAATGCTCTGAAGTCAATGGGTCTATTCGCATGTACATCTGAACCCCCCCCCCCCGTATTTCATGGAAGAGAGGCAAAGGAAGGAGGCTGAGAGGGGCTGGAGTACTTGTCAGAGGGATTGTGGAGGTGTCAAAAAGGATCCAGAGCTTCAGATACATGCTTATGCGCATGGGTAAAAGAAAAAAAAAAAGAATGCCAGAACAATCTGAACAATGGACCATGGGGAGAGTGCATAGTGAAGCTGGTTCAGGGTGGGATGTCTGATCAAAACTTCCTGCAACTATTAAACCACCACAAATAGAGGCACAGCCAGATTGCGCTAAGTCTCCAGTGTGACTGCAGCAGAAGTTCAAGACAAAACATGTTTCTATTGTAATTCTATTTTATCTCTTTTTTCCTATCATTTTTTGTTGTCTTTTAAAAATAGTAATTTAATTCTTTTCTTTTCTTTTGTGACTTGAGGTATTATTTTGGTCCTCTGCTAGATGTGTCACCTATAGAGCTCATACCAAGTGTCCCCTTTGTGATCTGTAACAGTATTGCTGCAAATGCTGGTTGACCAGATCTGTGTTTACATTAATGGGCTCAGAAGGGCAGGCTGATATTTTCTTAACACCCATTAATTTTTTAGAGTAAGCCCTCCACCCCCACCCCAACTGATGATGATTCTGTTAAGTATCCATACCAATTTGGAGGAACTGAACTCTTTAAGCTGCAGGGAGGGAGACGGTGTGTTTTTGTCTGTGTGAACAAAAAGCAACAGCTGTAACTTCTGGTTAAAATGAAGTGAACCAGTTTTAAAGCTGATCAATTGAAATGAGTTGGTGCATTTAAAAAGATAGAGATCTTTTAAAAGAAAAAGAGAAGAATGGCATGGGAACATAATACTCACTGGCTCCTAGCACCAAAGAGAGGAAGCAACCTTTTACTCATTGATTTTCAATGTAGAGATTAACATTCCGTCATCCATTTCCCCATCCATGGGGAAACTGAAACAACCCAGGATATCAATTCAATTCAGAACCTTTATTGGCATCGATCAGAATCATAAACAGTCACCCTTCAATTCATGGGTATAACACACAGTTTCCTCATTATGGGGCAGAACCCAGGATAATATCACCCCATTCACAAGCCTGAGAAATATACAGGATTTGTTTTCATACTTCACATAAAGGAACTCATTTTAATTGCACTGCTAAAAATACACAGGTTAAAACAAACAAACAAACATAAAAGTACCCATAATACTAGCTCCCAAAAATCACCCAAAATAGGACTTTTGAGAAAAGAGCTCAGGAAAGGATTCCTCAAACATTAAAGAACTCACAAAGAACTGAAAATTTGCAGGTCTGTGCATCACCACTCATAACCACTATCATGACTATAATGAAATAGTAAAGTTAATGCCTCTTTTGCTGTATGAATGTGACTTTTAAAATTGGGATTTCAACCAAATTCCATGCACTAACTCATCTGTGATCACACACAAACCTTATTATGCTAAAACTGCAGCAGTACAGCTTTAAATTTATTTACTTCCTTCTCTGGGCAGAACATACAAACCTGCCTTATACTGTAAGACTATTGGTCCATCTGTCTGCCTGTTGTCCACTTTGACTGGCTTCCCGTTATCTCAGGAATAGAATCTACTACCTGAGATCCTTTAACTGGAAATGCTAGGGACTGAGCTTGGTACTTTCTTCCTGCAAAGCATATGCCATATCACTGAGCTACAACCAGGGGCAGCCCATGTTGCCATCCAGGACCCACAGCCTGAGCTGCTGGCAAGCCAGCGGGCACACATGTGCCTTGAGTCACTGGCCATCCAACCAGTGAGTGCATGCATACCCTGAGTTGCTGGCCAGCCAGCAGGTGCCAGCTGACAAGTACATATGCATCAAGAACCGCCAGCTGGCCAGGCATGTGCCTGCAATGCTCCCTCTAAGTTGTGGAGTCTTATGAGCAAAAATTCTACTTTGTGAGCTACTGGCATTAAAGTTGTGAGCAAGTGATTTGGTTACTGCATAAATTAGTTTGCTCTGGAGCTATCCTTCCTGAGCTAAGACAAAAATGTGTGAGCTGGAGGCTAAAAAACTGTGAGCTAGCTCACACTGACTCAGCTTAGAAGGAACACTGGTAGGTACACATGCCCTTGGTTGGAGCCACTGGCTAGCAAGGCAACCCAGGTGGTGGAGCTGGGGCTGTGTCACCACAGGGGGTGCCCCTGACACCCATCTACTATTTAAGACCTTTTCGCACATTCAGATGGGTTCAGTTAATGTATATAGAAAGGGAGTGGGATCACAGCACCAATGTCTACCCTAACCTACATGAATTCATTGGAAGGTCTGCACTTTTGGACAGGCAACAGCTGTCCAGGGACTCCTGCTCCCTGAGATCCTTTAAATGGAGGTGTCAGGGATTGAATATAGGCCCTTCAACATGGATAGTGTGCACTCTGGTGTTGGACCATGGTTCCTTCTATACAGGCTATATGAACCTGCCTTATGTGGAATTAGGGCATAAGGTCATCTACCCTATGGTTGCCAGTTATGGATAGCATCTGCTCTGGGACATGGATAAGTCTTTCTCAATAACTGCTCCAGAGATCCTTTAGTTGGATATGCTAGGGGTTAGACCCCAGACATTCAGCCTGCAATACAGGTGCTCTACAAGCATCTACAGGTTGAACATACCATGTTGTCTTCTACCAAGTCAGACCATTGGTACATCCAATATGCAAGCCCAAATACAAACTCTAATAATTAAAAATGAAAAATGAAATGGGAGACTCTTAAAATGTTGAATTTCACTTTGAGGGAGAAAGACCTGTTAACTGGGCACTCCAAAATCCAGAAGAAATTTGAATGGGGAAAAGTTTGGAAGTACCCTATCGAAAATAGTAGGTTGGATCCAACCAGCTTCTCTACTGATGGAAAAGGGAGGAAGGAGTCCTCTTTGAGCACCAAAAAGGACATACTGGGATCTGCATGGACAAAAGCCAAAAGTGACTGGGGCTACAACAGAGGAGAACTGGGTAAGATTAAATGAAAAAGTTGGCCAGATCTAATTCATCATTTTGCTGGCTGCAAACCCTTACATAGACAGACAATTACTTGCTCAAACCTGGACGTTCAAAGAGTAGCTACCTGCCAAGCAGTGAGGTATTCGAGCAGAAGTGTCATTTGTATATACCAGCATTTCCACAATCATACTGGCTCAAAAAATGGCCATCCTAGCAGCAGTAGCAATCATGGCCACCGTATGGACCATATGGAGGTACCGATCACCCCGAAACCCCAGGTTATACTGTTTTCCCTGCATTAAAAGAGGTCTGTTAAAATGTGTCAAGGGGAAACAACTAGACCTATGCTCAGTGCGCAAACTCTTTGCTTCCTGGTGAGTGTGTCTTGCCAGAGATTAGAAACTGAAATATAAAAATGAAGTGATTATCCCATCAAATTAACAAGGTCTTCCCAGACAGGCTTGCTTTGCCGAGTGGAATCAGTATGATTAAAACCAACCAATAAATCTTTGTCCCATATTTCTCTCAGATTTTACTGAGCACTGGGTCCTATTAACTAAACACCAAGTGATAAAGAAAGGTGATTTGATTCACCCAGGCACACATATTCATTATTCAGCTATCAGTCCTCAAGGGATAAACTGGAAAGAATCCACCAATCTTTGATTGAGATTAATATGCTATGGCATAATTGAATGTTCATTGAAGTGGTATCTTGCATGTGTTTGCTGGCTTGGTATAGGCCCTAGATAATGCAGGATGCGAGATATAAAATTAATAATTCAAGAAAGGACAACTTTTTTTTGACATGGAGTTTATTTATTTATTTAGTATCCCACCCTCCCTGCCAGGCAGGCTCAGGGCGGCTTACAGAATATGTATAAATATATTAAAACAGTGAAATAAATTAAAACAGTAATAAAGTTAAAACCAGGGCATGTGCAAACAAGTGCTAGCAGATATAATACTAATAAATGGGTGGCGGCATTGTCTCAGCATCTAGACAGTCAAATTACCACCACAGTCTGAGTTCTTGCCAGGCTATAAGATATTAAATTGGTGCTGATGTTGGGGGGCCAGGGCCTCAATGTTAAAAGGCGGCCCCTAATCAAAGGCCTGGTGGAAGAGCTCCGTTTAACAGGCCCTGCGGAACTGTAAAAGGTCCCACAGGGCCCTGATGTCATCCGGGGAGCTCATTCCATCAATAAGGGGCTGCCACAGAAAAGGCCCTGGCCCT